TTGCACTTTCAACATGTGTTCTAAAGGTGTAAAATAAAAAAACCTATATAATAAATAGAATTTTCAAACATATATCTTTAAGATAGGGTTAAAGATATATTTATTATATTTTTTTATTATTAATTTATATAAAAATAAAAATTAATTTTAATTTTATAAATTGTCTAATTAAAATATCATAATTATAATATTATAAATATACCATTAATTTGTACATAATTACACAAGGGCACATATTAAAGAAACACATAATAAATAACTAATAAATAACTACTTACAGCTCCTACCGGCTCAAGGAGTTGAATTCGCTTGTTTGGCTATAAATTGTGAGGGATGTTAAAGTCATGCATGGAAGCCAGGAAAGCTGAGAGCTAAAACCATTTTGAGGATCTTCATTAGTAGTTATGCTTATGCCAATGTTTAGTCTTCTTCTTTTTCTGTTTTTCTTGGTTCTTCTTCTCCAGAAGATACAAAAGCGAAAGCAGCGGCTGCAGCTTCCTCCTGGCCCTCGAAAACTTCCTCTTATCGGAAACCTTCACCAAATCGGAGCAATTCCCCACCAGTCGTTTTTTGAAATGTCAAAGAAACATGGCCCTTTAATGCTTGTTCATCTTGGATTTGTCCCAACACTCATTGTATCCTCTGCAGAAGCCGCAAAAGAACTCTTTAAAGCCCACGATCTCGATTGCTGCAGCCGACCTCCCTTGACGGGTACCCGAAAGCTCTCCTATAACCACCTCGACGTGGGCTTTACTGCCTATGGCGATTACTGGAGGGAAATGCGACGTCTGTACGTTATCGAACTCTTCAGCATTAAAAGAGTCCAATCCTTCCGGTTCGTCAGAGAAGAAGAGGTGGAATTCCTAATAAAATCAATCTCGGAATTCTCCAAATTAGGGACACCGGTCAACCTCAGTGAGAAGCTGATGTCTCTCAGCGCCAATATTGCTTGTCGGGTTGCTTTTGGAAAGAGCTTCAGAGAAATGGGATACGACCATTTCGGCGCGGATTTCGAAGAGGAGGTTCATGAAGCTTTTGCTATGTTCGGAAGCTTTGCGGCCGCCGATTTCTTCCCCTACTTCGGTTGGATTGTGGACAGAATCACCGGTCTCCATGGAAGACTCGAACGGAATTTTAAAAAACTGGATGCCTTCCTCCAGAAAGTGCTAGACGATCACCTCTGTTCCGGTCGCCGAATTACAGAGGAAGAACACGAAGATATCATCGACGTTCTGCTAAAAATAGGGAAATATGAGACGGCATCCGGTACTGAAAAAATCACTCATAATCACATCAAAGCTATTATTATGGTAAGCATGCCACTTCGAACTTCCTCTGTTTTAACAATGTTTCTTCTTTTAAAAAGCTATTTTCAGCAATTACTCTTTAGGATTGAATGACTTCTGAATGACTTCACAAGGTTGAGGCCTTATAAGAAGAGTATTTATTCTGAAATTTTCAAAATAACCACCTTTGGATCTGTCACTGATCAGAACATATTTCTTGGCGGATCCGATACCTCTGCCGTAAGCATGGCTTGGGCCATGGCGGAGCTGGCAAAGAACCCACGAGTGATGAAGAAAGCACAGGAAGAACTAAGAAACAGCGTTGGGAACAAAGGAAAAGTCTCAGAAACTGACATCGAAAAACTTCCGTATCTGAAGGCGGTGGTGAAGGAAACCTGGCGGCTGCATCCACCGGGGACATTGCTGCTTCCGAGAGAAGCCATTA